GCCTATCAGTTTGGGAGGTTAGATATTTCAGAGCCTAGTCAGGTTCTTGCTTGCACGGTTTCTCGGTTTTCTTTGTATGAGCGCATCAAAGAGCGTCAGTATGATGACCCCTATTTGTTGGTCCTTAAGGACACGGTGCAGCACGGTGGTGCCAAGAAGGTTTCTATTGGAGATGATGGGGTGTTACGGATGCAAGGTCGGATTTGTGTCCCCAATATGGATGGGCTGCGTGAGTTGATTCTTGAGGAGGCCCACAATTTGCGGTATTCCATTCATCCGGGTGCTGCCAGGATGTATCAGGATTTGAGGCAACATTATTGTTGGAGAAGAACTAAGAAAGATATAGTAGAGTATGTGGCTCAGTATTTGAACTTCCAGCTGGTGAAGTAGGAGCATCAAAGGCCTGGGGGTTTGCTTCAGAGACTTGAGAGTCCCGAGTGGAAAGGGAGCGTATTGCTTTGGATTTCGTTGTTGGGCTCCCAAAGACTTTGAAGAAATTTTATGCAGTATGGGTCATTGTGGATAGGTTGACCAAGTCGGCACGCTTCATTCCGGTGGAGGCTACCTATTCTTCAGAGCAATTGGATCAAATCTATATCTGGGAGATTGTTCGTCTTCACAATGTACCGGTGTCTATTATCTCTGATCGAGGCATCTAGTACACATCAAATGTCTAGAGAGTTGTGCAGTAGGAGTTAGGTACGCGAGTTGTATTGAGTACAACATTTCACCCCTAGACGGAAGGGCGGTCCGAGCGCACCATTCAAATCTTGGATGACATGCTACGCGCCTGTGTTATGCATTTCGAGGGTTTTTGGGGTCAATTCTCACCGCTTACAGATTTGCCTAGAACAACAGCTACCAATCGGGTATTCCGATGTCTCCTTATGAGGCCTTATATAGGAGGCAGTGTCGTTCTCCAGTTGGTTAGTTTGAGCCGGGAGAGGCTGAGTTTTTGGGCACTGATTTGGTTTGGGATGCCTTGGAAAAAGTCAAGTTGATTTAGGATTGGCTTCATACAGCCCAGTCTAGGCAGAAGAGTTATGCTGATGGGAGAGCTCGTGAGGTAGCATTCATGGTGGGAGAGAGGGTTTTGCTGCGGGTTTCACCAATGAAGGGTGTGATGAGGTTCGGGAAAGAAGGGCAAGTTGAGCCCTAGGTATATCGTTCCCTTTGAGATCTTTAACAGGGTATGTGAGGTTGCCTACAGACTAGTATTTCCACCCAGCTTATCGGCAGTTCACCTGGTTTCATGCTCCGAAAGTGTTATGGTGATCCATCCCATGTATTAGATTTCAACTCAGTCCAATTGGACAAGGATTTACTTATAAGGAGGAGTCGGTGGCTATTCTAGCACGACAGGTCCGAAAGTTTAGGTCTAAGAGTTATCCTTCTGTTACAGTGCAATGGAGAGGTCTATCGATCGAGGCAGCTACATCGGAGTCCGAGTTCGATATGCGGAGTAGATACCCATACCTTTTCACCAGTTCAGGTACTTTTCCATGTCTGTTCGAGGACGAACGTTTTTTTAGAGGTAGAGAAATTGACGATCCGATAGGTCGTTTTGGGTACTAGCCCTTACTTCTATGTTCCGAGACCTCTATTAGCTCTATTTAGTATTTCTTGATTTGCGTGTGCTAATTCGTGTCTTTTTCCGAAAGAAAACATGATTTTTGACTTTAAAAATAACTTGAGTTTTATACTATTACTCCACCACCCCCTAAATTTTCTCTCCGTACGGAAGTCACTAGTGACCAGTAATTGTCACGCCGGAATGCACAATACTCCACCATCTGGTGGTGCAAACCACCGGACCAGACTCGAAAGAAGCGTGTTTTGATGTGCATAAACCCCAACTGGATGCAAATAATCACCTAAGCTTCGATGCAAAATCTCAGCTTGTTGCTGGGTCAGATATAGTGGTTCCAAGCCAAGGAGGTTGCTCTGCAACTCACATACAGTCCCACCACAAAAATTCAGATTCGTGCACCACTAAAACCCTAGAGGTCGAGGAGAAGAAAAATGCCGACGACCACCATAGGGCCGGGCATGGTATCAAAGGGGCCCAAATTGGCCAAGACCAATGTCAGGCGACTCCACCTGTTGAGAAAATTGGTACAATTTGTCAAACAACAAAGTCACTTAGCCAACTGTCACAGCAATCCAAAAGACCATAGTTGAAGACTTACAAGAACCAGGTGTTCCATGTAATACCACTGACATTTCAATTAACAATGCAAAGGAGCAAAGTGAACTTTAGTTGGTGGAGTATGGTGCTCCAATTGAACAAACCACTTTAAGCCAATAGAGGGTAAAGAATGCATCAAAGGAAATTGATCATACCATCTCCCCAGCAATCACAACAATCTCAGGTATCATTGCCCTCAGCTTCAGATATATCTACCAACCAAGATGAACAACTAAAATTGAAGCATAGTCGTCCAACTGATACCAATATAGAACCCCCTGCTAATGATAATGAACCTAATTCAGCTACCCTGATCAACATCAATCTATCCTGATCAACATTAATCAAGAGAACCCTCCTATTGTTCAGTAGAGTTTGGAAGGAAGAACCCAGCTGAGCCCCATAGACCAACCACCTCTTAAACTTCAACCAGCAATTACCAAAAGCATCATTCCTAAGATCTCATCAAACTTTGACAAACCATCTCACACTAAACCTCCTATACACAACCTGTCCCAAAGCAAATACCCACTAATACCACCACTAATAACCAACCAAATGATACCAATGCCAAACCTAAACAGCCATCCAGCTTACCTGCACCATCTCCACCAACAATCAAACATTTCTATGTTACCAAACTGAGGGCAAGGCATGAAGCTGAACATGAACCAATTGAGTTTACCCCTCCTAAAATCACTACCAAGCAAGTTCAACAAATAATTATTTCAAATCAAAATGATTATATGGTTAAATTAGCTGCAAAATGCAAATTTAAAGTGCTGGGAAAGTTCTCAAACACCATGCCTAGAATAAAGACTATTAGGAGAAGTTTTGTGTCACAAACAAAACTCAAAGGGGTGTCAGGATTGCTCATTTAAATGCAAGAATAGTTTACAATGATCTTGATAATGAATATGATCATGTCACTATATGGACTAGACAATTCATGTATATCCAAGGTCAAATGATGAATCTGTTAGCATGGAAACCCACTTTTAGCCCAGCTGAAGACTCACCCATTGTTCCTATATGGGTGGTGATTCCAAAACTACCATGACATTTTTACTACATGGAGATATTGACTGTCCTCCTATCTCTAGTAGAAAAAGCTCTTCATTTGGATCTGGCTTCATTTCAAAAGACTAGAGGAAGTGTAGCCAAGATAAAGATGTAGATTGATTCTACCAAGCCAAGACCACATCATGTGTGGTTAAGATTTGATGAAGATGAAAGTGGGGATGGGCAGTGATTAGAAGTACAGTATGAAAACATCCTAGAGTACTGTCTTTATTGTATACACTTGGATCACAACTCACATGCATGCCCAATCAAAATAAATGATGAAGAGAACAAGAAGAAGAAAGAGAATGCTATGTGTGAGGGCAATATGGAAAACCAGCCAAGGCATCTCTATGTGGGGAAAATATCATCACAAAATCAAAGCAATCAAAAGGAGAAGTAAGATAAAGGCACCGGAGCTGATATTCACCAGAAGGGTGAAGAACAACAAAAGTCAGGGGTTACCCCTCCGAACAATGAATGGAAGAAACCAAAAGAGGAAACACTTCAAAGGGAAACAGCAACAAAGTTAAAAAAAAAAGCACCAACCTGTCATGCCAAAAAAGAATACAGAACAGCAGTTGCAGGCAAATGAGGTTACTAAACACCAAAAGGATAAAGAGAGGCAAACATCATGTATAAATACTACAACTTTAAAAGACCCTCCAAGTTCTTTAGAGAAAAGAGATACTTCTAATATTCAGAACTGTAGTACACCTCCCCAACCCCCTGATATTTTTGTTGAGGAAGTCAATGGAGGAATGAAGAATGGTCAAGAGAACCTTCTAACCGTGCAAGATGGGTAACCAAAGGGGGAGTGGCTTCCTCTTGCTTTGCATGAGTGTGCTTCAGCACATGTGAATGACCATAGGGTTGACTCTTCAACCACAGCTACCAATACTCTTACACATGGGAATGCAGTTGCTTCAGAGGTTATTAATAAAGAGGAACATTGTGAAGTGATCTACTCTAGTGATGAGGAACAACCTTCGAGGAGATTGATCAAAGGGAAAGGTCATGCTGCTTCTGATATTCAACTCCAACTCCACGAATCCAAGAAAAAACCTAGTCATAAAAAAAGCTATGAGAAAGAAGAATACATGAATCAGAATTAATGAACAGATATAGGAAGAGCCTAAGGATACCAATCAGTTAACTCCTACAGGGTAATCAGGTCCAGTTGCAGCTTGTTAGAAAGCCAACTTAGCTCCTTCTCAACCCCTACTACCCAACAAAAGTGACATCCCTGTTGAAGGTTCGCATGATGTTCCCACTAACAACACTATATCAAAAGAAACATCTGGCCATGAAGAGGATGAGTATAGACCTATACAATTTGAAGACAAAATGGGCATATACTCTGATGATGAGGATAAAGGGACAGATGAAGAGCATCATTGTGAGCTCCTGGTTGTAGTTGTGAATGGTGCAACTGAACAAGACAAGGTCTTAGCCTCCCAAAATAGATCACTGAGAATGAGAACTTCACCCAAACTCACAAGAAGTAGAGCTGTTTCTACCAGTTCTATCCCACCAAAATCCAAATCCCCTATCACCTTTAAATGATCAGTACAATAACTTGGAAAGTCAGAGGTATCAGAACCTATGGCTTATTGAGAGACTCAAAATACTAAAACAAATTCACAAATTATCCTTCATTGCTATCGTAAAACCATTCCTTCAAAATCCAAACAATTCAACCAGTCATTCCCATAACAGCCACATTGATTACTTCAGAATGTAGATGTCAATGGACCAGGGTGTTTCCAACAGTAACAAGAAAATCTGGATCTTTTGGGATCAAGAGTTCGCTGGTACTCTTTGGGACAAAGATGAACAACATATGATAATTGAGCTAAAGTATGTAGAAGTTGGAGACACCTTTCACATCTCTGTGATATATGCAAAATGTAAACCTGCTCTGAGAATTCCTCTATGGGAGACCTTGAAACTTAAATCTACTCCTTGCACTGTGCCTTGGTGCGTGATAGGAGATTTTAATGTCATTACTTCAATGGGGGAGAATATTGGAGGAATACCACACCAGATGAAAAAGAGTAATGATTTCATCAGCATGATTGAAAAATATGGTTTAATTGATTTGGGTTTCCATGGACCAAGATACACATCGTTTAATGGAAGAGGACCTGGTGCTATAGTGTGGAAGAGAGTAGACAGGGGTCTTGTTAATGATTACTGGATAACCTCTTTCCCTACTACTAGTATCACACATTTGGCTTTAGTAGGTTCTAATCATTCACCTCTCCTGTTGAAAATGCATGTGAGACAAGATAATGCCAAGAAATACTTCAGGTTTCTCAACTATTGGGTGAAGAATGGAAGTTTCATGCCACTGGTTCAAGAGGTTTGGTATATGTAGGTTATAGGAAGTCCAATGTGGGTCTTTCACGAATAACTTAAAGCCTTATCTAGTGCTTTAAGTAAATAGTCCAGACATCAATATAGGGACATTTTTCAGAAACCAAAGGAATTTGAACAGAAGGTTAAGTTAGCAGAAGAGAAATGGGCTACTACCAATGATCCAACTAACAGGATGATCCTTCATGAAGTTCAAGCTCAGTACATTAACCACTTGAAACTTGAAAAGAAGGTTTTGAAACAGAAGACATAACTACATTGGTTCAAAGAAGGTGATGCTAACTCCAGCCAATTTCACAATCTGATCAGAGGTAGAAGAAGGAAACTCTTCATCCACAAAATCAAGGATGAAAAAGGAGATTGGATTCAGCGTGATGAAGCTGTTAGGGAAGCTGCTTGTGACTATTTATTCACTGAACCTGGAGGCCATATTAGAGAGGACCTTCTCAATTGTATTCCAACCATGACCACTAATGAAGACAATGGTGAACTCTCCAGAGATCCTGAAATGGAAGAACTTAAACAAGTTGTTTTTTCCATGAGCCCAACCAGTGCTGCAGGCCTAGATGGGATGAATGGAAAACTCTTTCAATGATGTTGGGAAGTGATTAAATATGACTTGCTAAAGGCGGTTCTTGCACTTTTTTGGAGGAAGTGAGATGCCCAGATACATGACCAATACATGCCTAGTTCTTTTACCCAATGTGGAATTTCCTAACTCTTTGACAGAATTTAGGCCCATAAGCTTAAGCAACATCATCAACAAAATCATATCTAAACTGATTGGTACCAGACTTGTAGCCATACTGCCACACATCATCTTAGCAAATCAGTTTGTATTTGTCAAAGGGAGAAGCATTTCAGAGAACATTATGCTTGCTAAAGAGATTTTCAAAGGAATTAAGAAGCCAAATGTTGGAGCTAATGCGGTAATTAAGCTAGATATGGCAAAAGCTTATGATAGAGTTTCCTGGGCTTTTACTTGTATTATGCTTAGGAGAATGGGCTTTCATGAACTCCTCATAACACATGATATGGAGAATCATGTCAAACAGCTGGTATGCTGTGGTTATTAATGGGTCCAGGCAAGAATTTTTCAAGTCTACTAGGGACCTAACGCAAGGAGAACCACTGTCCCCATCTCTCTTCATCATTGGGGCGGAACTACTTTCCCATATGTTCAACAAACTCACTCATGACCAGTTTTCAATGGGTTTTATATGGAGAAGAGGGGTCCACAAGCCAACCATTTGAGCTTTGATGATGATGTGATCATCTACACATTAGGCAGCAGGGTGTCACTATTGAAAATCATGAAGATCTTGGAGGATTATGAAAACACCTCAGGGCAAAAAATCAACAAGGCCAAGAGCCACTTCATAACTCCATCATGTGTGTTCTAGTACAGTGTCAACATAATTCAACAAATTACAGGTTTTACCATAAGGGAATCTCCAATCACTTACCTTGGATGCCTACTCTACATTGACAGGAAGAGAATCATACACTTCAATGACTTAAATGTCCAAGGTTGTCAACAAAATCAAAGGATGTCATGGTAGAATATTATCCTATGGAGGAAAAGCTACCCTGATCAAACATGTGTAGCAATCTCCACTCATCCATCTCCTCTCAACTGTGTCACCTCTTAAAGCTGTCATAAAGCAAATTGAGAGAATGTCTGCTAACTTTTTCTTGGGTATGGACAAAGATAGAAACAAATACCATTGGGCTTCATGGGAGAAAATGTCTTATCCTCTTGAGGAAGGAGGTTTGGATTTAGAACAATTGATGATGTGTGCAAGTCTATGGAATTCAAACAATGGTGGTCTTTTAGAACTAAACAATCCCTGTGGAGTAAGTTTTTGAGGGCTAAGTACTGTAAGAGGTGACATCCAGTATCCAAGAAATAGAACTCTGGACAATCTCAGACTTGGAAAAATATTTTGATCAACAAAAAAGAAGTAGAACCTCACATTCAGTGGAGGCTTCATTATGGCACAACCAGTTTCTGGTGTGATAATTGGTTAGGCACAAGTCCGTTGGCAACTTTTAGAAATGAAGGGGGCAGACCTGACAACATTTCAGTATCTCAATTTTGGGTTGTAGGAAGCTGGAACATTTAGATACTCAACAGTTGTGCACCATCACACAAAATCAGAGAAATACTACAAGTTCCCATCAACTACATACCTCATAAACCAGAAAAACCAACATGGACTCCCACTACTTCTGGGAACTTCACACGTGCTTCTGCTTGGGGTATAATTAGGAAAAGGAAACAGGTTCTCTTCACCAACAAAATGACATGGCATAAACAGATTCCTTTTAGATGGTCACTCTATCTCTGGAGAGCACCCAGAAACAAACTGCCTACAGATGATAGAGTCATATCTTTTGGACATCTTACTGTGACTAGACCACATCTTCAGCATGGGTCATTTTGCTAAAGCCGTCTGGAACGTCTTTACTGGTCCATCTGGTTTTCCCCTATAGGACATGCCTCTTCAGTTGCTCCTGATAAAATTGTGGATTTAAAAAAGCAAGAATGAGGTGCACAAACTACTTCTGGATACCCTTCCTATCATTATATGTTGGAACTTATGGAAGAATAGGTGTAGTGCAAAATATGGAGCAAAGAAATCCTCAAGGCTTAGGGTTCTTTTCTCCATTAAATCTGATACCAACCTTCTCCTCAAAACTAAGTACCCTACCATCACATGGCCATTTGAATGGAGTGAGTTGTATCCTTTGGTTGAAAACCTGCAATTTCATACCAACATCCTGCAAGTAAAATGGCAGAAACCTGATAGTGGCTTTGGCAAACTAAACAGTGATGGTAGTGCACTTAGTAACCAGGCAAGATTGAAGTTGGAGTCATTATCAGGGATTCTGAGGGTAATTTCATTCATGCTTAAGCTAGGCCTTTAGATGAAGGAACCAACAACCTAGCAGAGACAATAACAGCAGTGATAGGAATGCAATGGTATCTGGAGAATTATTTTCGTAAGGTCCACCTGGAAGCTGATTCTGCTATGCTCATACAATGGCTCAACAATGCAGCAGATCCTCCTTGGAGCCTGGAAGTTAATCTGTATAACCTCAACTTTGTAGACAATGTGAGGAGTTCAAATATTCATATGTTTACAGAGAAGCCAACTTTTCTGCGAATTCTCTATCCAAACTCAGTCATAATTTAACTTTCATGACTCACTACCACAACATGATTGAGTTGCCTATTAATATAAGGGGTCAGATCTATTTGGATAAGATCGACACCCCTTCATTCAGACACAATAGGAGCAGAAGGATCAAAATTCCACCACACCTGGCCTCTAGTTCCTCACATGGATATGGATGACAGAAATGAAATTAAGGGAGCAGACCTAATTCTCAAAATTATAGGGATCATATATCAGAGCATCTTTATACAAGAAATGAAATTTGCTCAAACCCATTGGGAAAAGGATACAGTGACAGACCTCCTCACTAACTTTATCTTCTTTTTTGCGGGTTCCAACTTACTTGATTCACTGGACCTTTCTAAGTGTGTGGTATTAGCATCCATGATGCTCATTCTGTTGAGAAAAGGCCAGTGTTTTAAGCCAAGACTTTCTACAATAGAGATGAAAAAGATTAGAACCACCAGGTTTTCCAAGTGGCATAGACACCACACTACATCAGTTGACTAACATAAACTAATTTTAAACCTTAAAGGCCACAGGATGAGCAGCTACTTGAACCATTTTCATCCAGTAGACACTTGGTCCAGGAAACTCAACTTATCACACCCACAATTTTCGCCACAAAATCCCAACAAGAAGACACAACCTTTATCTCAATCCCACATCTTCCACCCAGCTACACTCTTTCACAACTTTAGAAGTAATCACACCCTCCATCAGGATCATCTTATTCACTTTCTCATTGGCAACATATCCCTCTTCCAAAAAGTTCTCAGAAGACAGAAGAACCTGAGAACACACACTCATGATCATAAGAAAAGACATTGTTATTTCACTAATTCTATTTTTTGTTTTGCAGGTACTTTTTCTTATGATCTCCTCCACCTCTTGATATACACTCAGTGTATGGTATTAGCATTTTCAATGCTCATTCTAGTGAGGGTTAAACAAGGGTACAAACAGTGCCAATCATCAGGCACACACAATCTATCATGCCAAAGCAATGCATTTGGAACTTGCTAGTCAACATTATGCCCCCAAGTTTATTCGTTGAACATGGTAGAAAGAATGACAACTCTCAATTATCCAACTGATCCTCACAGAAAGTATAGCAGAGAGCCTAAAAATCTATAGCTCCATTTTCTAAATTGGGAATCAACTCAATTAGGCTCTCACATAGGTTATTAGTCACTACCAAATTACCATGCACTCTTCAGTACCATTTCTCTTCTCCCCAGCTTCAACCTGCAACCTTTACCAGCTCTTAAAATCTATAAGAACCTGAGAGTATTGCCATATTTGTTCAACAAAAGGTCTCAGGGAAGTAATGCCCAAAGCATGCAGCACCCCTGCATCACTAACTGTAGTGCCAAAGTCTTTCTTCCCCGGAAGAGGGGCAATAGTACTCTTTTAATGCTAACATGGTTTTTTTGCAGGTCCATTAACTAGGTATAGAACTCTGAAGCACTCTCAATGTGTGGTATCAGCATCCCAAATGCTCAGTCTGTTGGGAGTGCATCAAAGTTCTTGGACCTACCCTTCTGATCATGCAATACAAACACACACATCACAGTCAAACAACACCGATACATATAGAAACCACCACATCAGGGCAATAGTTTCAGCAATATCTCATGGACTCATCAGTGCTCTGGTTCACATGCCATATGAACACACTATTGAGATTTGGTTATGGGCACATCAGAGTCTCTACAACAGCCAATCACAGCCACCAATGCAGTGCTCCATCTTCTATCATGGACACCAAACACAAACAACTCACTATTTTTCATCTTTTGGTCATCTATATGCTTCTCTTCAACCTGGCTTTCCTTTTTTGCAATGCTAAAACTATGATAAATATAGGTTGTTGGTGTTATGGTTGTATATTTTTTTTTCCACTTCATTTGGGAATAATTTGTCCAATCTTTAGATATAGTTCCTCTTGTAGATGGAAAGAGTCTTTCCAAATTCTTTGCACAGTTGACCTAGGTTACTCTTGTTTTTGGGGTCCATTTGCTTACCCAATATGGATAGGCATATGGAACCATCTTATAAGTCTGACTTCACTTATTGTACAAGATTAAATTGATGGTCCTTTTTTAGACAGTCAATTGATTATCCACCATAGGTTTGGAGGAAAGGTTCATGTCTTCCTCTGATGGTGTAATTGTTGGTTCATATTTATAAAAACTAGCCCTAGATACAAAGCCTAGTGGTTTTATTAAAAAAAATAACTTGGGTTAACTACAATCAACATTTTGTGTAAACTATCTCAGATCGGTATTTTAAGGATTCAGGTGGGTCCATATCGTGATTTTGGACCTGGGCGTATGCCCCAAACTAAATTCGGAAGACCCTAACTTGATTTGACTTGTTTTGTCAAAAGCTAGTAATTTAAAGGTTTTGA